CCTCGAGATGATGGATTTCCACTAAATGAATATACCCATTACATTTAGTGCTCAATCTACCCTTGGCCACATGCATAGATTGTGAGGTTTTTTCACGAGGAATAAAAACATCATTTCAAGCTACTCAGTCCTCCAAGGTTTTTCACTAATGACATTGACTAGTCAAAAGTTACTCATGTCCTTGATCATCACTCACACACTTTCTGGATTTGATCACAAAGCCCTCCAGAGATTACAAGCTAGTTTAGTTTACAATGGTAAATCTAAACCTCCAACTAACTAAGCTCTAATGATATATCTGTGTATAAAACTATTCTAAGAGCTTTGAGGATTGGGGTGAGAACTAAGAAGACGAGTGATGGTCAACACTTGCTCCTTTGTTGGATATGTTGTATAGGCTCGTTTTTTCTTCTTAGCTCCAGACTTAGTTCTCACGTACTTCTTTTGCATTTATAGACTTAATTTGTTGGTCAAGAAGATTCAATCTTGATCGTTGATAGATCCACTTGGTGACTGTGAGGCAGCATGGTTCGTTTTTGTCTCTTTATGGCACGAGTTGTGACTTATTTGTTCAACCTGTATTCCGAATTCCTCACTCTAAGGCATATGGCTAAGCTTATGTTTTAATCATTTTCGTAGACTGAATATTTGGTAAACAGATTCAGATTAAGTTGTTTGTCGTTTGTTCAATGCTCCCTCAATTTATAGGTCCCTTGCCTTCTTTAGTGAAAAAAATAATACTACCTCCGTCTCACTAAAATTGAGACAAGAGAAGGTGACACAATTATTAAGAAAAGTGAGTTTTTGTGGTTGATATTAAATTGATAAAGTAAGAATAAAGTAAAAATCATTTAGAGCCACACAAATTTTACCAAATTTGGTATGGGGCAATCTTAGTGGGATTTCTCGAAAAGGTAAAATGGGACAACCTTAGCGGGACGAAGGGAGTAGTACTTATAATTTTTACAGTTTAGCAAAAATTGCCATTAAAATTACTTTTGCCCTTTCTTTTCAGTTTTACAGTTATTAGACTGCTAGTGGGTCCCATGTTCATTAAGATAATAGTTAACGATTGTTTGTAGTTGCTGGTAGAATTGATTCTAAGGTTTGGATTGTATGTATAACACTTGAATATACTTCAAGTGTGATATAGTTTGAATTTGAGATTAAGCTATGGGTTGTAGTTAAGGATGACCCAAAGTGGTTTATTGAAATGACAATTCTAGGCATAAAATTTGCTTAAGAATTGGGTTATGATGCATGTTGATGTAATAGAACCGAGCTCTAGGAATGCATGATGAGATGGTAGGCTTGTGTCCTACGATTTGCTTGGTGATGTACTTGAGCCTAGCTCTAATAAATGCATGGCGAAGTACTAGATCTGAATTATATGAATTACATGATGATGTAATAGAGCCGAGATCTAGGAATGCAAGGTGATTTATTAGGGTTGAACTCTATGAATGGTCGTGACTTGTAGTCACAGGGAATGGGGATGGTGATTTCTGAATGAACATGGGCCCACGGACCAACTACCTGTCTTTATTCAAAGTAAGTATATTTTCAAACGAGGTCACTTGGGGTTACAGCCTAGATTATACTATCACCCTATTTGAAGGTCTTGTGTTTGAAATACTTGTTATATATCTATTAGATGACATCCACACCAGTACTTTATAGCTTCTGTAAAGTATTGACCCCTTCGGGGGCGTTCCACCACCATTTCAGGTTGAGGCTAGGGCTTGCTTCCTGTATCCGTTGCTCGGGTGATCATCTTGGAGAGGAGACTTGGTTCGTGCTTCCTCCATTCTGTTTTGAACAATAATAAACTTGCTAATAGATATTTTATTTTAGAGCATGCGTGCTCATGTTTGCCCCGTGTGGCATTTGGTTTTAAACTATACTTTCTGCTGCGTATTGAATTGCTTATTATGTTTGTTTATGGATGACTTATGTGTGAATTATATTCATGATGCCTTGTATAGTTTGGGTAAGTTTGACTGAGGTTGACTTATCCATATTGTATGGCGATTGTTAGCATCGGTGAGGTCCGGGGCGTGACACTAATACTCTTCGTTTTAATTGGATCCCTCTCGAGTGCCTCCATATTATTTTCAATTGGTTGACGAACCCTCGATATTGTTGGAGCATCTTGATTTGATAAAACCTCTTCGGATCTACATTTTCTTTTGTACGAGTTGCTTTCATTTATAGCTAAGTGCCAACTGAAAATACAACATAAAAATTACAATAATGTATACACAGACTCACAGTGACATACAAGTATACAATATACTATAGATGTGAATCCAATTGAACTACCTACAACCAATGTTCTAAAAGGTGCTAGGCACTAGTCGGGCGTCAGCCCAGCGCCTAGGCGCCTAGGCGGGGACTAATCGGAGACATAGAAATTATAGTTTTATCAATTTTTTTTACATAAATATGATTAATAATGTTGTGTTTGTGTGTCTATAAAATACACACATTAACATGCATGAATGATAGTGTTGTCACATTAAACATGTATAATTGTTATCTTAATCTACAACTAGTAACTTTATTCATAAACGTTGTTAAAGGTACATATATATATATATCTTAGAATACTAAAATATAAAAAATGAAAAATAAAATGTTCGAAAAATCTAGACGACTAGGCGGCCGATTAAGCGCTTTGGGTGGGCAACTAGACTCCCTAAGCGGTCGACTAATTCACCTAGGCGCCAAATCAATTAGTCGGAGCGCCTAGACTAAAATTGGGGCGCCTAGACTAAAATTGGGGCGTCCGACCACCGCCTAGGCGGCGCCTAGAGCGATTTTTAGAACAATGTCTACAACTATACAAACAACAGGAGTTATACAGAATATGAAATATGAAATTAATAACATTTAAAAAAGAAGACATGACTAACAATTTTCTCTAACATTTATTCAGGGAATTAAATTCAGCTTCAACTCTTCAATAATTAATTTTCAATTTTCATTAATCTGCCGAGTTCAACTCTTCAACTCAAACTCCAATTTAGTCCAATCTGCCGGTTTGATTTTCTAACTCTTCAAGAAAACATGTCTATCAATTTAGTCTGCAATCTCCAATTTGAAATGTGAACATCTCAAACTCAATGATTTCTCTAACAATTACTTAATGATTTTCTCTCAATAGTGAACAACTCAAACTCAATGTTTCAACCCTTCAATTATAGCTTCTAAATCTCCAATACTTCTAATTAGAATCTAACATGCAAGATTGGAATTCAAAATTACTTGAAGCTTGAAAACTTGAAGCCATGAAGAGAAAAGAAGGGCTGGACGGCTCGAGAAGAACACTGAAGTTGCGGTCCGCCAGTCTGGAGAGGAACACTGCGGCTATCTCCTGTGGGACTATTTGGCTCTGCGGGCTATGAAAAGCGTAGAAGACGGCAGATGGCCAATTGGAGCTGAACAGTGGATTAGCTCTGGATTCGCGGAAGGGGCTGTATTTACTTTGGCTTCACGCAGACTGGGCAGACTTCTTTGGGTTTTTAGGCTAAGCAAAAACGACCCTGTTTTATTTTATTTTTTTAATTTTTTCTAAAATTCGAGCGGGGTCCACTGAGTCCCTTGACCCCTAGTACCTCCGCCCCTGCCCTGGGGTACAGCCTAAATAACCCCCTCATTTTCTAGTCCCCTCCTTCCCTGTTTTGTTCTCCTCTCTTCGTCTCCATCCTTTTCTCTCCCCTTCCTCCCCCTTGTATCATAAGCACCCTCTCTTTCCATTTGTTTCTTTCTTTCTCCTTCTTCTTCATCTTGGTCTTCTTTTTCTTTCCTTCTCTTTTTCTTTCTTTTTAACCTTTTATTCACCATCACCTTCCATCATCATCTTTATCATAATCTTCCATCATTATTTTCATCGAAAAATTGATGTTTGAGAATGACCGGAAATCTGTCGGAAAGTCACCGGAAAATTAGAACCGCCTGAATTTTTATCTGTATGGTGCTAAATAATGATAAATATTGTCTGTAATGAAAGATAAAACTAAAAAACTAGTAACATTCTATAAACTTTCACTATAGACGAAATTGTGCATACACAGACACTGGTTTGCACCGAAACAAATGTTTGTGTCCACAGACAAAAATTGTATATGTATAGATACTTTTTTGTCTACGCAGACAACTAACAACTAATGTCTGTGTACACTGAAATTGGTTTCCGTGCAACCACCATGACAGATCTGCAAAAAAGGTACATCAATCAGCAAACCGATTTTTGTTCAAACGGACAATTTGTCTAAAATGACTGTATTTGCACTTTTTTTCCCTGTGTGTAGGGGAGCATCGGTCGGGTTCGGATCAGTTGGGTTGGGAAACCCAAGACCCTATCGGGTTTCAGATGGGCAAATTGGACATCTGATCCTATGTATATTTAAAGTAAAAATGTCAGGTTTTAATAATTTCGGGTAGGGATCGGGTTCGGGTCGGGTTTCGGGTTCAATCGGATTTAAATACTTCAAAAAAATTGTTGATTACAGTTTGTTCAAAAAATTGTACAATATAAAAATGTGTAGTCAGCTTTGCATCTCAGAATCGGGTTTTAAATAGTTCAAAAACTTTACAGATTTGAGAATATAGTTTGTTCAGAAAACAGATTACATATTACGGATCAAACATTACAAAAGGATTACATATTACAGATCAAACATTACAAAAAATACAATTACTTGTGTACGAATTATAAATTACATATTATTGAGATTACATATTTCACAAAACATTCGGGTGGTCGGGCGGGTCGGGTAGCATAATTGGTAACCCTATCCGTTACTCGCTTAATTCTCGAGCTGCAAAAATCAGATCAGGTTTGGGTCATTCGGGTCGGGTTATCTGATCCAAAAAAATCGAATATATCCGATTGAGTCAATAGGGTAGAGTCGGGTTTGCTCTCCCCTAGAGTCCCACACCAAGGATGGTTGATTTTAGTTTTATTGGGTCGAATCTGATTAGTGTCCAATTGAACTCTTTGACATAAGACGACCATGGTTGACTAAATTAAAGTCAGCCACACACCAGCAGAATGGCCAAACCTAATTTTAAACTATTTTTATGAATGAAAGATTTTGTAGGAGAACCAGGAAGGCTTGCACCGAAAGGGGTGGTATTCATCCCCTACGCGTTTCTCCATTCCAGAGCTTGAAGAAGATGGTAATCTGCACAGTGAAACCTTAACAGCTAAATCGTTAGTGTGAAGCAACTCTAGTATTATTAGATATTAGCAATAACACGTCATATAAGGAGAAAAGGGCATCCAATCATTACTGAACCATTAAGCCCGTTTTTCTTTCTCTATATTGATGCGTCGTACTTCTCATCTTCTCTCTCACCTTCGCTGCTTTTCTCTTCGCTCTACTGCCCCTGCCTCTCTCTGCGGCGGCAATGTGGACTTCTTAGCACATTTTCACTCTTGCAGGCCCAAGTTTGAAAACTGGGCAGAACCTTACTCCGATGGCTATCGCAAACTTGAAGCAGATACCACCAATTATCAGCTCATTGGGGAAAGATGGTCTTCAGCTGTTTCCTTTGGATTCCGTGGTCTATATCCCGGGAGCTCTTCGCTCAAGGTCACATCTTTGACTCCCGTTAAATTGAACCTGAATCATCGGCTCTTCCTAAGGCACTGTGAGTGTAGTTCTTTGTCTCTTTGTTTTATTTTTCGTTCTGTTCTTAAGAATAGTCTATTTTGATAGTGTTCTGCTTAAAGATTAGTTTTGAGTTTTCATCCTTCAGTAAATGCGATTTTCAGGCTTCTTGACTAGAGCTAAAAGGAAGATTACGGAGATAGAAGTTGAAGATCATGGGTAATGTGTGTTTACTTTCTACATCTACATACTAAGCTCGTGTTTGTCTTTTCTTAAATTGTATTTTGATGTTTAGTGTTTAATTGTTGATCCCAGTACTTGGTAGAATGGTTTTGGCACTGGTTTACCTGTAATTTTTTTAACCAAGAGTCTGTTGTTGTACTGGAATTCCCTAAGGCTTATTTGGATATGGGGTTTTCAAGGGGAATGGATTGGTGGGCTTAGTCAATTAGTCTATGTCTTGATGTTGTTTAAGATTTTATAAATATCGAACCATTAACATAATATGCGGTACTAATGTCGTATGATATTACTCCCTCCGTCCCTTAAAACTTTATCATCTTTCCTTTTTGGGACGTCCCAAAAAACTTTGCCACTTTCCCTTTTAATCAATTATTTTGTGGTTTCTGTTATTTCTCTCTCCTCTGCACAAACCTCAACCATACAGTTTTTACTTTATTATTCTCCGTGCCGGTCAACTTTGACAAAGTTTTAAGGGACGGAGGTAGTACTATAATTGCATATAAAAAAAGTTAGACTATAATAGAAAAGTCCTCACAACTCACAAGTATATCAGAAACATAGGATTACTACTAATAAAAGATAATAGGACTAATGTGAAAAAATGGTTACTCACAAAGGCTCTTTGGACCACCGCTCAACTCAAGTTGGAAAAGGTAATTGGAAAAATAACTCAAGATGAAATTTGGAGATGAAGAAGTAGAGTTACGGGGGTGCTTTGGAGTTGATTCTGCTTCTGTTTTGTAAGTAGAAGTAGAGTCATGATTAGTTTTTTAGAAGTTGGTCTAACCCAGCTTCTATAAAACTTCTTCTAGGAGCATTTTGGAGCACTCAAAAGTACTTTTACACTTTCACCCAAACATTCCAATATTTATTTCTGTTCTCTGAAGGAGTGCAAACATTTTTAGAAAGTAGATCCAAACACCCCCTTAGAGCACGAAAAATGGCTCTTTGGACCGCCACCCAACTCATTACCTTGAATCAGGATGACATCATCTCAATGATTTGAGCATATTTTTTCGTAGACACATCCAAATGAAATCATTAAGGTCTCATGAGATAGATAACTCAACTAGTTACAAATCATGTGAAGACTTCATGATTAGAATATGGGAGGATCAAGGTGAAACCAGACGGTCATTGTTGAGATTTCAAGATGAACACCTTTCCTCATTTTAGCCATATCTTCTGATTGAATAATTCAAATCAAATGATTCAAGTTGTGGTGGATAGAAAACTTTACTTTCTACAACTTTTGTGAAGGAAATATAGTGATATTCGAAATGTATAAAAGGATGACCTTACCAAATTCTTTTTCGAGTATGCGCTTCACTTGACTACATATATAATACTATTTTTTTTTTTTAATTTGAGGGGTGGTCTAGGCTCTACCCGGCCTAAGGGCAAATCCATTTTATTCGTTGTTAGAAACATTGTTATATTGATCAAGATATAGATTAAGCCCTCCAAAGCTTTTCCCTTCAAAACCCCCAAAAGCTTTCCATGCAAAAAAACCTTAGACCCTATTTTGACAGATTGAACTTAAGTAAACCTGACAAACTTATGTGGATCTAGTTTTTAGTAAAAAATGAGTAAACCTAGGTGAAACCAGGTGCATATACAATAATGTTGTTTGAATAGCAATTAAGTTAAGTTAGTTAACCAAGTTAACATACCAAAATTACTTGCGAGAAGAACTTCATCTCTGTGCCGACCCCAAAATCTTTTGGGAATAAGGCTTGGATGTTGTTGTTGTAAGAACTTCACCTTTGACATTTCTGATTTGGAGTATCACACTATCACTAAAACCGAATTATTGGAGGTTTTCGAAGCAAACCTACTTCTTTGTACCTAAATTATTTTCACAAATACTAAACAATGAATGTGCAGCATCTATATTTAGACTTGGTAAACCCTAGTTTCACCCCCAAACAAACAGTGCCTAAGGTTTAAAGCCTCAGTGGGTTGGCTTGTGGTGGTGGGCATCTTTAACATGGCAGAGTTTGTGGTTTGTATTATGATGAAATTAATAGGTAAGCTGGTTAGAATATTTCCAAGAAGCAAAAACCGTTTTGAAGATAAATAACTTCTATAGACTAAATTTAAATATTAGTCAAACTTCCCTGAGATTAAACTATAGGCAGTTCATTCTCTTTCTTTACTCTTGTTTGCTTGACTTATTTACCTTCACTCTAGTCAGAGAGCTGTAACGACTGCATTATGGTGCAACTTCCTAGTCTTCTCTCTCAAGTTTGGGGTCTGGTTCGCTACCTCTAGTCATGTTATGCTTGCTGAAATGGTGCATTCATTAGCAGATTTTGCAAACCAGGTAATCAATGCTTCTCAGAATTTACCATCACCCCTTGGGTTTGCCCTTCTTAGTTTTGATTCATGCCTTTTCAATGGAAGATAGACCACATGGAATCTCTAAACTTTGTTGGTTTCATAGGCACTTCTTGCATATGGATTAAGCAGTTCAAGGCGTGCCCCCGATGCTCTCCACCCGTAAGTTTTACCTTCAGAAAATATTCTAACGATGGAAATAAGGGAAGTACTGTAAAGTCTGTTCAGAATCCATAAAGTGATAGAGAGAGAAAATAGGAGGGAAGATAGTGGGGAATTGTGGAAGAAAAGTAAGTTCAGGGAAAATAAAAAATTAAAGTGCAACCTGTTAATACTGGGGAGTTGGGAAACTGTTTTAGAAAATCTGGCGGATTTCTCAGAGTATCGTGTGATCACTTTCCGAATCTAATATTTCGACCCTATGCCTGGGTTACACGAAATTTAGATTATGGGGATAATCACTCTGAGAGACAGTCTAAAACTGAGGCACCAATATATAGACCACGAACTAGCAGTTTTAGTAGAACTCGAATTCTTCTGATTACCAAAGAGATAAGGCCAATCAGTTAGAGTTTTACTCTAACAGAAAGTCATTCTATTAAATAATTAATATGGACATGTTTATCCGAAAATAAATTTCCATATTTATTTCTTTAATAAAATAAAATTTTGGTCCGGGGCGCTGCCCCTTGGACCCCGCCAGGGGCACTGCCTCTTGGACCCCGCAAGGGGGCGCAGCCCCCTTGACCCCCGCCATTTAATCGAACCAAGTTTAAATTTAATTTCGTACAAGTGTGCGCTCCGCACCTCCTAACTTGTCTAAAATTAAACTTGAACTCCATCGGTAATCTGTAAATTCCATTACACTAAAATGAACCTGGTGATACTAAAATCACCAACACAACCTCAATAAATTAATTTTAGATATTTAATTTTGTTATGCACCACATACTTATTATATAAAGGCTGTTTAGATATAAGTTCATGTAACACGTTTAAATGTTCTTAGTTTCTTACCATGTTTGTTTTTTCTTTGTATTTTCCGAAGTCAATGTTAACATGAAAATGTTATTTTCATTACCAATCCCAACCATTTTCTGCCTTTCAAAATCCAAACATACCTGTAATTTTTTGGACTGGAAAGTTATTGTACTCTATCCAATTGCCCATAGTCCCATACCTGAACCCTTACTGCTATCAATTGCAGTTGTTGTTTTTAATATGACCTATTGAGTTGATTTTTTTTTATGATTTATACCTGGAGTAATTAAGTTTATTTCAAATTGTCAAACCCAAGTTGAACTTTTGAGTTCCATAAGTATTCTATATTCCTATGAATTAATAACTTATTAAACCTTTCGTGTTACTTGATGTCAGATATGGTTATTCTAAGGAAAGATTTGTTTGGTCTTTGATATCTGCTGTTGGCATTTTCTGTCTTGGCTCTGGTGCTACTATAGTTAATGGAGTTCAAAACCTGTGGACTGCACAGGTGCTCAACTATATTAGAGTTCATATATTTTTCCATTTATGGTTTGGTAACCGCAGCTAATTTGTCATTTCAAACAAGAAATTATGTCACATCTTATCACTGGGATTGATTACAGCCTCCTACTAATATTGGATATGCATCACTGGTGATTGGTGGCTCATTCTTCATCGAAGGTAAAAATATTTGTTTGATTACTTTTCGTAACCTGTCCCTGTAAGATGTTGCATTTACTATTCTTAGGCCAAACTGCATCTTTTTTGTTTTCTCTAACCAATTTTAATAGTTTAATATTCAAAGTCACCTCTTGTGTTATACGTAGTACTCCCCCCGTCCCTCTAACTTTGTCCCATTTTACCTTTTTCGTCCGTCCCATTAAGTTTGTCCCATACCATATTTGGTAATATTTGGGTGGTTACAATTCATTCTTACTTTATTCATACTTTATCAATTCAATATCAACCACACAATTCTACTTTTTCTTAAAAACCACACCACACCCCTCTATCCCAAACTTAGGGGGACGGAGGTAGTATAACTTTTAGAATTTAGAGTAGCTTTTAGATATAATGCTTATTGAATGATAGTATCCTCCGTTCCAAAATTATTTCCCATATGGCCATATTGGACAGTTATGGTAATTAAAACATAAAACTTGTGTGGTTGAGATTTATTTAAAAGCGAAAGGAATCACATGAACCACATATTGATTGGAAATGTGTGAGAATTTTGGGACAGAAAAAAGAAACACATCACGCAATTTGTTGAGTACCAAATGGAATATTACAAAAAACAATTTAAAACTGTTTCAGTCTAAGCCTCATTATATAAACCATTGTGCAGTGGAGGGAGTATTAGGTTCTTGACATGATGCTTTCTTTTCTAGGGGCTTCTCTGCTTGTGGCAATACAAGCTGTCAGGAAAGGTGCAGCTGCAGAAGGAATGACAATTAGAGATTACGTTTGGCGTGGCCATGACCCCACATCTGTTGCCGTCATGACAGAGGTGAAACCAGTGTCCTACTGAGCCCCTCACTATTGGTCCTTGACTTTATTTTATCCACTTTATCGTGCACGATTGTATATTTTGCCACTTTTTGTCATTTTCCGTCACTTATCTGGTCATTTTATGTACGTATTTGGCCGGATAAATCACATGGAAAGCCAAAAGCTCGCAAGAAATTCATAGTCATGCACCTAAAGTGAAAGAGATAAAAGTCAAGCACCAAAAATGGGAATCTCTTTCTTAAGAATCTGAAAATGATGAGGTTGTGGTTGGTAGGATGGTGCTGCAGTTACAGGCCTAGCCATTGCTGCTGCTTCATTGTATGCAGTGAATAAAACAGGAAATCCAATATATGACCCCATTGGTTCCATCATTGTTGGCAACCTTCTTGGAATGGTACGTGACACTAACTGGACTAGTCTTGTTATGACGTATAAGAGCCTGTTTGGGCATGTTATTTGGCTGTAATTGACTTAATATGTTGAATTTTCTGAAAATAAGTGGTTGGTAACATCTATTTCTGCTATAGTAAATTAAGTGTTACTTATTCTGTTTGTAGTGCTTAAAAGCAGAATGGGCTAGGCCAGGCCTAAACGTGGAAAATGTTTTTGTTGCTTATGATTTTAAAAGGAATGTGATACACATAAAATGAGCTAATAAGTAGTCATACTTACAGTAAATATGTTAATTTGAAACTGAGAACGGGCTTTTCCTTGTTTACAGTATATTTTTATTTTTGTTGTCATGGAACTTTTGTGGAAATTAAACATGCAGGTGGCTATATTTCTGATTCAGAGGAACCGTCATGCTTTGATTGGTAGAGCAATTGATGACCATGACATGGAGAGAGTTCTTCAATTCTTGAAAAACGATCCAGTATGTATGTCTGCTTTGGACCCCATTATATATGCAACAGTGTCCTTCCTTGACCCACCCCATATATTCTCAACACAGGTTGTCGATGCTGTCTATGATTGCAAAAGCGAGGTGATTGGACCTGGATTTTTTAGATTCAAAGCAGAAATTGGTAATGAACTCCATCTTCATCTTATGCTCCCTTTTTGAATATACATTGTGATTTTTAATTGCTCTTTATACTCGTAGAACACCATTTATTATACAATGTGCTAGTCCATTATTTTATTTTGTAAATTATACTCCGAATATCTTGTGTATATTGGGGTACTTATTCAAAATGGTGGTGCCTCATATATCAGATTTCAATGGGGTGGTGCTGGTGCAAAATTATCTTGAAAGAGCAGGACGTCAGGAGTGGGCTCGACAGGTTAGTTTAGAGCTTTTCTTTCTAATCAGAGAACAAAAAAGTGTAGTCTAATGAGCCCTTTAGTAAGACCTAAAATGTTTGAACTTATGGTTGAAATTGCAGAATTATCTACAAGAATTATTTAAAATTTAAATTATATTAAATAAATTAAAGAAACAAATCTATTTAATAGAAGGTAGAAATGTTTCGCTGAATCTACTGGATTTTCTAAAAAGGAAAATCTATTGGTTACACCTGTTTCAACCAAATAAATCAAAAGGTATATATTCATATTATTATACAGATGAACAGAAAAAGCCAAAACTTGGTACCTAGTTGAGTTAAATGAGCTCATTTGGTAGCCTCGTTTTGTCTTATACTACTTATCAACCAAATAAGTATAATAAGTAGAACAATTAGGGCTCGCCTCTTAGGTACCGCGGTCAGTTTTTAGTTTTTGTTTCTTATGATTTTAAAAGGAATGTGATACACGTAAAATGAGCTAATAAGTAGTCATACTTACATTAAGTATGTTAATTTGAAACTGAAAGCGGGCTTTTCCTTGTTTTCAGAATTTTGTTTTTTAGTTTGCATAAAAAATGGAAAAGGATCGAATGAAGCCTTAGCTTTTGAAGTACTTGTATGGCTGAAATGAAACACAATTTTCCTTTCAGAAAAATCAGAAGATATTAAAAACTTTACCAAATTGGCTCTAGAGTTTTATGAAAAATCTGATTGAGAAGACTTCTAAGAGAAAAAATTGAGGATAATAAACGTGTTATATACCTATCTATGATGAGCTATTGTGTTAGTGTCTAATGGTAGTGTGTTCTTATCATTAGTTCCAAGAGGCTGCAGCCTTAGCTTTTGAAGTACTTGTCTGGCTGAAATGAAACACAATTTTCCTTTCAGAAAAATCAGAAGATATTAAAAACTTTACCAAATTGGCTCTAGAGTTTTATGAAAAATCTGATTGAGAAGACTTCTAAGAGAAAAAATACAGGATAATAAACGTGTTATATACCTATCTAGGATGAGCTATTGTGTTAGTGTCTAATGGTAGTGTGTTCTTATCATTAGTTCCAAGAGGCTGCAAAGGAGAAGGACGATACTACATTGCTCATACTCATGTCAAACTATGGTAAGCTGTTGAGCATTTCTACCTCTGAGCGCTCTCCATTGTTCTAGAAACTTTATCACTATTTTGGTGGCCTGCAGGTGAGGAAGTGGTGACAGCATTAGGCAGTGAAGTTGATCGCCTAGAAAAGGAGATCCAGGACATAGTGCCTGGCATTAAGCATGTCGATATTGAGGCGCATAACCCAATTTGATCACCCAATTTATTACTTTAATTTGAAGAGGTAGAATTTTCCTTATTCATTTGCCTCCTAGAACCTGTTAATATTTCACACAAACAATTACTTGATCACCTACGGGTGTATATATGTAAAAAAATACTTCCTTTTCAGTATGAATTAGTCGTGGGGATGGGGAGTTATCCCATCCCATCTCCCTTAAATGGTGTTTTCTGTATACCCGCACGTTTGCCATACCACTAGCCGTATTTGCCATCTTCCTTGGCCTGATTTTCAATAGGCATGGATTCGGGCCGGGTCGGGCCTAGGCCTGGTCGGGTCGCCGGTTTGTGAATGATGGGCCCGGGACCGGACCGAGGTAAAGGCGGTTCCAGTTCAGGCCGGGCCACCCGCCTGGGTCACGGGTGGGGCCACCCGTCGGGCAGGGCCGGGCCGGTTAAATACATTTTTTTTAAAATTTATAGGGAAAATGGTCAAATAGGCCCCTCGAACTTACATTAAAAGGTCAAATAAGCCCTTATATAGGAGGCTCTGTTCGGTCGTAGCCATTTGGGGTTGTTCCCAGTGGAATTTTTTGATGAAATATTTTGAGCACTTTACTCATTAAGTCTAGTTTACTCATACCAAATTTCACCTAACAATTCAATCGGAAAGGCATTCAAATGAATTTTTGAAGATAACTGTGCTTTTAACTGCGCAGTTATCTTCAAGAATTCATTTGAATGCCTTCCCAGTTGGGGTTTTAGCTGGAATTTGGTATTAGTAAACTAGACTTAATTAATAAGATGCTCAAAAAATTTCATCCAAAAATTCCACTGGGAAACATCCCAAATGGCGGCGGCCGGACAGAGCCTCCCTATACAAGGGCTTATTTGACCTTTTTATGTAAGTTTGAGGGCCTATCTGACTCTTTTTCCTAATTTATACTTTATAGTTTTATACAAGTATTAAAAACAAACTTCAAGTGCATTTATTTGAAATGAAATAGGAACTACATTTGACAATTGAGAAAAAAAATACACTATGAAATTAGGCATGGATTCGGGCCGGGCCTAGGCCTGGTCGGGTGACTGGTTTGTGAAAGGTGGGCCCGGGACTGGCCCGAGGTAAAGGCGGTTCCGGTTCGGGCCGAGGCACCCGCCTGGGTAACGGTTCGGGCCACCCGCCGGGCCGGGCCGGTTAAATCAATTTTTTTAATACTTTATACTCCCTCCGTCCCATAAAACTTGGCCAATGTTTACTTGCACGTAGATTAATAAAGTAAAAACTGTATGGTTGATATTTGTGCAGAGGAAAGAGAAATAACTTTAGCCACATATTTGTTACTTTAAATGAAAATGACAAAGTTTTTTGGGACGTCCAAAAAAAGAAAGTTGACCAAGTTTTATGGGACGGAGGTAGTAGTTTTATAGAAGTATTAAAAACAAACTTCAAGTGCATTTATTTGAATTTAAATAGGAACTACATTTGACAATTAAGAAAAAAATACAATATGAAATTACATTTGAGAACTGAAGGTAAAATTAAAACATGAAATATTAATCAATCAGAATCCCAGTAATAGGCAGATTCATCCATAAAGTTAGGGGTGGACTCGGGTCCGGGCCGGGTCCGGGTCGGGCTTAGGCCCGGGCGGGCCGGTGGTTCAAGTATGGTGGACCCGGGACCAGCCTGGGTAGCCACCGGGTCCGGTCCGGGCCGGGCCGCGCCTCCGGTTTGGTTTTTTTTTTTTGCTTTCCTAACCCCCCTCACCCCCACCCTCCCAAACCTCCCCAAACCCTTCCTACCCATCAAGCCCAACCCGGGTGGAACCCCAAAAATGAAAAAAAAATAAAAAAAATTCAATTTGGCCCGGGCCCGGGCCCGACCCGGCCGGGCCGGTTCACCAAAATTGATACCCGAGCCCGGACCCGCCCTACCCCCGGGCCTTGGCCCGACCCGGACCCGGACCTGAGAACCGGGCCGGTCCCGGTCCCGCACAGTAGCGGGTCGGGCCGGTCCACGGGCCGGGTGGCCCGACCCGAGTCCAAGCCTACATAAAGTGTTGGGATGGGTTGATATTAATTTCTTGAGTTCTATGGGCCGCCTTCAACCAATCGTGGTAGCATATAAGCATCTCAAGAGATTTTGCGTTCAACCTCGTTCTACATTGCGTTAGGACATTGCTGGCTGAACTAAATTCTTGTTTGACGTCAACTGTTGAAACCGGCATTGATATCACTTGCTTAGCCATCTTTGTTAAAACCGGGAACATTCTTTCTTTTCCCTTCCACCAGTTTAGAATGTCAAAGTCATCATCTTCTTCAAAATCAACATCATATGTTAAATACAAAGAAATCTCATTAATTGTGTTTTGTTGAGTAGCAGGTGTTGTTTTAGTTTTTTAAGGGAAAATCGCACATTTGACCCCCCAATTATCCACCATATTGAAATCCCAAATCCGTGTTTCAGGTTTTCTAAATTTCACCCCCGAGTTGTCCGAATAATTATAAATGACACCCCTGCCGTTATAATTATTCGGACAACTCGGGGGTGAAATTTATAATTATTCGGACAACTCAAGGGTGACATTTATAACGGCAGGGGTGACATTTATAATTATTCGGACAACTCGGGGGTGAAATTTAGAAAACCTGAAACATGGGTTTGAGATTTCAATATGGTGGATAATTGGGAGCAAATGTGCGATTTTCCCTTTTTTTAATAAGATTGGCAAATGTAGATTTCAAAATTGATTTTCCTTTAGATGAAGAGGTTTGTGTCGAGAGAGGGGGCGCGTTGCCATATTGTGCATGAAACTCATTAAATAATGCATAAAATATATCACTAACCTCGTTGTATTCTTTTTTCGGATCAATTGAGTTCTCGTCATACATTGACATTGGACCAAAAAAGCAGCATAATAATAATTCAAACATTCTTCTAAAGAACCAAGTCTAAAACGAGGATCGAGAACAAATGCAATATCATAAATATGCGGAATATGTGAATAATATTTTAAAAACTTTTCCTTCATAAAACCAGCAATATTACTCACATAATGAGCATTCTCAAAATTTGAAAAAGCATTGACGAGATTAACAGCTTCACGAATAAATTGGTTTGAGGTAGATTTATAAACATGATTAAAAGTCTCTGTTGCATTATTAAAATATACCAAATCATTACAAATTTATTCGCATGTGTCGATCTCAGCCGAGTTTATAATATAGTTATCATATTGTTTCATAAAAGCAGGAACATGTTGTTTATATCTAAGAAGAACTGCAATTAACTTATAAGTACTATTCTAACGAATAGACAAATCTTTAGGAAAAGCCACATATTTTTCATCTTTTTCAATCAAATAATCATGTCATTTTTTTATAAGTTGACCATTACCTCAAATACGTCTAATCCCCCCTTGACTACCTACAAAGATGCTTCTAACGTTTTTAGACCATCTTGCACACATAAATTAATAACATGACATGCACATCGTTGATGAAAAAATCTACTCATCAAAGAAGTAGAACCACACAATTCACGCAATCTAGGAATAACAGCAGTATTATTAGTAGCATTATCAAAACCAATAGCAAACACCTTATCAATTAAATTATACTCAACTAAAATACGCTCAATCAAAATATAAATATGTTCAGCGGTGTGATGATCATTAAATTCACGAAAAACAAGAACACGTTTATGCATATTCCAATCATTATCAATATAATGTACAGTAACACGCCCATCAAAGTTTGCAAAATAATTTTGTAACCTTACCTTTTCCGCACTATAAAGACTTGAAATTTCTTTCTTAACCGTTTTGCGACTATAACCTCTATATTGAGGATTTAAACAAGTTTGTGCATAATCACGAAAAGCAAGACTTTCAGAAAACAAATAAGGCAAATTTTCTTCAACAAGTTAATCATACCTGTTAAATTTTGTGCATCATTGTATGTGAAATTATCAAAAGGTTGTTGGTTATTTGCAAATCTCGATATTTAAGTTTGCTTCCCCGTTCCGCCACCTGATTTTACATACTCCACCAGGTGTTTGGCCTTAAGATGCCTTGTGGCGGATCCGTATCCGCCGGAAATCCCCAAGCTATATTTTTTCTTGCACCACTTGCAAGTTGCGTTCCAATTCCCGATGTTCGGGTCCTTCCACTTATCAAAATTATTTTGCATTAGTTCAGATCTACTTTTTTCGTACCTGTTTGGGATGAGGCAGACTCGTCGGCGTCATGGCTGCCGCCACCCTCCTCCGCGTCGCCGTCGTGGCTCTCCGGAATTACTTCCTCCACATCGTCGTCCTCGAGCTCTTCTCCGTCAATTGTCCTCGGCTGGTCTTGGAAAAACCGACTATTATGGCGGTGCAATTCTTGTTCAAGTTGTTTGTCGGTCATGACATCCTCATCCCTCCTTGCATAAACTGTATCAAAATCATCTCGACTTTGAGATGAAGAACCGATATGTGATTTACCTTTGCGGGATTTCTTCCTCGCAAGCTCGTTCGTTCAGTTGCGCTCGAGGTTACCCACATCAACCGAATATCTACCACCTTCCATCTTAAAAATGTAACAAATATTAATTTATAAAAACAACTCGAACTAATGAAATAAAATTCTAACAATTCTAACTAAGTGGATATAAATTGTAATATGTATGTATTTAGTAGATATAAGTAGATAATAAGTAGAGATTAAGTAGATAACAAATATAAGTAATATAATATATGTATTTATAAATAGATAATTAATATATAACCATATAAGTAGATAAGAAATATAAGTAATATAAATTATAATATACTCGCTCCGATTCTGAAAGATCTTTACACTTTCCATTTTTAGTAGTACCAGAAAGATCTTTACACTTCCTTATTTTCCTTATTTGGCAAATAAATCTACACAAAACAGTGTCAAACAGTGCCAAACAGTGTTGATGGAGTATATGGCCCGGGAACACCCGGCCCACAGACTCATACTACTCCAGTAGAGACCCAACAGGCCCGGAAGGCCCAACAGGCCCAAATCACGGCGCCCAGGGTACCAAGCAGCCCGCAATACGCACCAGGGGTGCCTTCGGCCCCCTGGCCGAAGGTTCCAAACTATCACAGCATGGATATTTCGAACAAACAAAGGAACTGGGAGAAAAAACGGCGAAAACAGTAGCCCTCGGCACCTGGAGCCCTCGACACTCA